ATCTATCTATCTATCTATCTATCTATCTATCTATCTATCTATCTATCTATCTATCTATCTACACACTTATACTATATATGTACATATGTATACATATGTATACATACATACAATTTAAGTTACATACTGGTTTGAGAATTTTCTGTTTTTTGTGTCCCTCCCTCCCTTCCCACTCTCTTTCCTTCCTTCTGTAGCGTCTCACTGTGTTATAGTTTAAGTAACTTTGAACTTGTCAGCCTCCTGAATGCCAGGATTATAGGCATGTGGCATGTGTCACTGTGTCTAGGTAATTACTTTTTTTTTTTCCTCTTAATGAAATAATTTCAGGAGAAAAAGCCTCAGAAGAAATAAAAGAAAATGTCATACCTTTTTTTCTTGAGAGATTATCTGGTCTCAAACTTAGTCTCTAGCCCCTGCTTCTTCCTCCTGGGCACTGAGATTATGGGCATGTGCCACCAGACTGAAGCTTGGACATAGGGCTTTACAGATGCTAGACCAACTGTGCGCTGTCACCTAGCTTAGAAAGTATCATAATCAACAATGGATTTATTTTTTTTCTTTTGAGTCATTTTGTAACTCAAGGAAGCCTGAAATTTGAGATGTAGTCTCTAAACAGTAGTTTTTTTGCTCCAGACTCCTAAGTGTTGGAATATGGATATGAATTGCCATGTTTGTCTTACAAATAATTTTTATTATTAAATATTTCTAGAAATGGTAAATCCTAATAACTACGTATGGATATGGATTGTAGCTAGTGTATTTCTTAGGTGTAATCTTGCTTTCTCTAAAGATGTTAGACAGGGATTTGAATAACTTTCTGAAATATATATTGTGGAATTTTTTGAAATACATATCATATCAAATATTTTTATTTCTGAAGATTGTTTTTATTTTAAGTATATGAGTGGTTTTGCCTGTTTGTATCTAAGTGCACCGCATGTATGCCTGGTGCCCACAGAAGCCAGAAAAAGGTGCTTGACTCTCTGGAAATGGAAGAAGTATAGATTACTGTGAATTGCCATTTGGGTACTAAGAACTGAACTTAGGTCTTTTGGAAGCTCAGCAAATGCTGTTAACCACTGAGCCCCCAAAGCTAGGGGGTTTTATCTGTTCTGAATCAAATGAGGGTCTTGCACATGAGGCAAGCATCCTACCATTGATTTCTGTTCCTACCCTCTAATGTTAATTTTGATTGACTTGAGTAGCACCTAATTTTGTCCTCATTGCTCTTAACCTTTTGTGACTTTTGTGTGTCTTTGACAGAATGAAGCAGGGGTTAAGGAGTTCCACATGGTGCAGGTGTCAAGCAGTAGCAAGCACTGGCAGCTATACAAGTCCGTGAACATCTCTGAAAACAAAGGTCGGTACCCTTTGCCTCACACTGAGTTCTGTTGGGGAAGCTGTACCAGTGACCAAACATGTGGAGAAGCAGCTTAAAAGAGGAAGGGCTGGTTTTGGCTACAGGGGTACAGTCACCCTTTCAGTGAAGGCGTGGGGGCAGGAGCATGACACATCCAGTCACATTGCATCTATCACCAGGAAGCTGAGAGAGTAGATAAGAAGGGGGGCTAGGCATAAGACTTGAAGGCTTGCCCCAGCAACCTTTTTCCACCAGCAAGACACGATTAGTTGTGGGTCACTTGTTCCAACACAGTACCAATGGGAGCATTTCACACTGTAGAATAGGAATTAAGTGAACATATGGGAAAATCTGCATATTCTGAGTGCATGGCGTATTCAAGTTTACTGCAGAAAAATGGTTGTGGCTTCCATGTAAATTATGCTGCCACCACTTTCATGGCTAGTAAAATACATCAGAATTTAATTCTTTTACTTATTTGTGTGTGTGTGTGTGTTTGTGTCTGTGTTCATGTGCACATGCACACATGTGGAGGTCAAAGGAAAACATGGGGGAGTCAGTTCTCTCCTTCCACCATGTGGATCCCGGTATTAAACTCAGGTCATCAGACTTGGTAGCAAGCTCTTTTCCAGCCGAGCCATCTCTCTGGCCCTGTAAAAGCATTTTCTAAAAGCCAGATTCAGTTGACATACAGTAGTAGTAGGAAAACACACCATGGCAAAATATAATTTGTATAAGTCATAGTATGTAAAAGTCATAGACAAAAATACTAAAAGGGAATGATTGAAGAATACTAAAAGGATATGATCAAGTGCTAAGATTGTGGGTTCCTAGAACCCTATGTTCTAACTTAGTGTTTCTAACTTTCAGACTGACTGTTTAGAATCTCAAATGTCAAATACACACAAAGAGAATCATAGAGTCACATATGCTTGTGTATCCTAAGATTTTGAATTTAACCTTTTTGAGTGGTTGGTGAATATTCATTTTGTTGATAAGAACACAGGAGGTTTTGTTGTTGTTAATGAAACTTTTTGTTTGGGTTGGTTTGGTTGCTTGGTTTTTTGCTTTTTTGAGACAGGGTTTCTCTGTGTAGCCTTAGCTGTCCTGGACTTGATTTGTAGATCAGGCTATCCTCAAACTCACAGAGATCCGCCTGCCTCTGCTTTCCCGAGTGCTGGGATCACAGGTGTGTACCACTGCACCAGTCCTTTTTTTTTTTTTTTTTTTTTTGAGACAAGGCTGGCCTCAGAGAGCCTCCTGCCTCTGCCTCTGCCTCTTGAGTGCTAAGATAAAAGGCATATATCACTGCATCCAGCCAAATGAAATCATTTTTATCAAGAAGTGTGAATAATGAATTGGGCTTGTATGTGTTGTAACCTGAAACACATTTTTATTCCTAGATGCCAAACTTGCCAGTAGGGAGAAAGGAAAGTTTTGCTTCAAGGCAATAAGATGTAAACAAAAAGAAGGTAAAATTTGTTTTATTCTCGTCTCACTTTCTTCTATGTCCATTTTATATCTTACAACAGTGATATAATTAGTTTGTTTTCCTGTATTTTTTTTTTTTTTTTTAGCTGCTGTACAGTCCTCAGAAAACTACACTTTTGCAGATATCACCTTTGGAAATGAACAGGTATGCAATGATGCACAGTGATACTTGATGTAAAAATCTTAGTTCTGGAGTATCTGTCTACTTTGAAGAAACTAGCATCACTAATAACTTTGTGAATATTGAGCATCTGAACTTTATTGAGTTTTACACCTACCTTTAGTCTTCAAGATAATGCAAGCATGACATATGGACAAACTGTACCACTTTACTTACATAAAGCTAACTTCTGAAAATATCCAGTGAGATAGGCACAGTACTTGCAGTTCTAGAAAAGCTGTTAATTACTTGAGGAAACCGTTCTGTTTTAGGAAAAGTGACCATAGTATAGCATATAGTCTGGGACCTCTGTTTCTAAGTCTGCTTAAAAGTTTTTCTCATGATGCACCTTCAAATTTGGGCATATCACATGATTCTGAGTCTTGGAAACATCAGTGCATAGGCTTTCTTGGAATTGGAAATGGAAAGGCTTTCATACGCTGTCATAATACGCATGAGTTACCTGTAGTGACACGCAGTGGACTGTGGTGGAGGCTATGGTTGCATGTGGTGTCAGTTCCTCAGTAATACCGTAGACCTTAGTTGTAGCCCAGTCTTTACACCTTAGGTTTGAAGATCAAGGTACAGAGATTTTTGTTAGGATAAAGGCTTTTCTCCCCACTTCTTTATGATCTACAATAGAGTTTGAGAATATGATTTTTGTTGTTTGTTTGTTTTTGTTTTTTGAGACAGGGTTTTTCTGTGTATCCTCCTTGGCTGTCCTGGACTGGCGTTGTAGAATCAGGCTGGCCTCTAACTCACAGGATCTGCCTGTCTCTGCCTCCCGAGTGCTGGAATTATGCGCCACCACCTAGCGAGAATGTGAATTTTTAAATTTTCTTGAAGACAGGGTAGCATGTAGTCCAGCCTGGCCTTGAACTCTTTGTATAGGCAGTGATGACCTTGGATCTTTCATCTTTCTGTCTCTACCTCCTGAGTGCTGGGATTACAGGCTTATGTCAGTATGCCTGGTGTCACTGCAGCCCTGTGTCACAATGTCTGACTCTCCGTGTGGAGCTGGAGACTGAAACCAGAGCTGTGTGTATATTAAGCTCTCACTCTGCCAACTGAGCTATGTCCCTAGCTTGGAATATGCATTAATATTTTGTTTAATTAATTTAATTTTGTGTGTGCTCACATACATGTGCTTGTGTGCAGATGTGTGCTATGGTGGATGTGTAGAGGTCAGATAGAGGATCACTTTCTGGAGTCAGTTCTCTTAGTTCTCTTTCCCCTTGTTGAGACAGGGTTTCTCCCCTTGTGTCTGCTGCTGCTCTTTCTATGCTCCCAGGCTATGCCCTACAAGTTTTGGGCTGCACCTTCATATTCCCATAAGGCTGCTGGGATTAAGATATGAGCTGTAGGGATCCATTTCAGGTCATCAAGATTGTGTGACAAATGCTTTTACATTTGAGCCGTGTCCCTAACCAGCCCTGCTGTAATCTGGAGAGGTCATCTAGTGAGCCACACTGTGATCCTTTTGGACTGCTGTTAACAGAATGGCTTCTAGACATCTCTAAAGTATGGCAGTTCTCTGATCAGGAGTTTTTGCCTGACTCACCTTCTGTGATAATATTTGAGGAAGCAGCTTAAGCAATGTCTGAAAGCTACGAAGGCCCAATAATTGCAAAGCAATCCCCAGCCCACTTTTTACTTGGAGAAGGATCTCACTAAGTTGCCACCAGACCTGGTGGATCAATTATTAATTTTATTTTTAAAAAAATTTAAAATTTTAGAAGCATCAGTAGGATTCTTAAATTATATTAAAGTTGTAACTTTTATTGTATTTGTTATTATATAGTATTGTATATGAGCATTGAAGAAGGCAGAAACAAACACCTTTTTTTTTTTTTTTGAAGTATTTTGTTGAATAATACCAAGTACTACAGATTAAGGAAAAAACAAAGGGAATGATATTTTCCCAGAAAAACGTCATCAGAAGAAAAAAAATATATATATGACTTTTTGTTTGTTGGTTGGTTTTGTTTTGTTTTGTTTTGTTTTTGAAGTGGCTGGAGTGAATGCTAGGAACTGACCTTTTATATTTTTGGTTGTGAACCTACCCTTTATTAGCTGAGCCATCTCTCCACCCCAGCATGTATTTGTTAACATTTAATATTTACTTTGTATTGTGAAGCTTTACAGCTAAATGATATGCATAGTAATTCATAAAACTGTAAATGTAGAGATTTTACTACAAGAGACTTTTTATCTGTTAGGAGAAATCCTATAGATTGGAGTCTTTTCACTTTTAAATGAATACAAAGGGAAAATTAATGCCAGTGGTTATCTGTGTTGTTTCATTAGATGTTTCCTGGCTAGTATTCTCATAAGTTTCTCCTTAATTCAGCCGGACACCTCAAAAAATACTGGTGCACAGAAGTATTTAATAACAAACACAATGAAAATGAGTTTTGATGCAATTCAAGGGTCTAGCTGATGTTTCTAGGGATTTAAATAGAATGAGAAACACTTTTGTTATGTAAAATTGTATTTTTTCTTCATCTGCCCTGGACACTTGAAGACTCATGGGAGCAAAGGCTGGTTTGGTCTAACACCTTTTAAGGTTCTAAGTAATTTTCATTAAGTCTTTTAGGTATTCAAATGGCCTTCACGTATTCAGCTGTACAGACAAGAGACTAATGAATGAATTTTGGGGTACATATGAACTTTAGAATTTTAGGTTTTGGCAGAGTATATTTAAACAAGTGACAGTAAGTTTGGGCAGAGCATGTAGTTAAAACACGTTGACAAGTGATTTTTCTTTCAACAGATAATAAGTTCAGCAAGCCCATGTGCAGATTTCTTTTACCGAAGTTTATCCTCAGAGTTGAAGAAACCGAAAGACCAGCTTCCTGCACATCCTGAGAAACATACCGCGAAGGATGCTATGAGGCTGATTGAGAAGTGCAGTGAGGTGGATCTGAACATCATCGTATTATGGAAGGTAGTACATTACATGTTGTCAGCCAGCCTCACTTAGAGACGTTTCAGTTTTGTCTGGTTTTCATTTTGCATTTTGAGACAAGGTCTTTCTGTACAGCACAGGAGGCCCTCAGACTCTTTGTACTCTTGCTTTAGCTTCGTGAGTGCTGCGAGTCCAGGTGTATGCCATCACACCCAGCCTGGATATCCATCAGCCCACTGTCTGTCCATCTGTCTGCCCTTCCTTCCTTCTTTCCTTTTTAATGTTTGTTTGTTTGAGACAGGGTCTCAATTCATAGCCATCTTGGCCTAGAACTTTCTATATAGACCAGGCTGATGTTGAACTTAAAGAAATCCATCTTTCTGGGATTGAAGGTGTGTGATAGTATATTCACGTCTAGATACTTTATTTTCAAACTGGAGAACAACTCTATACTCATTTTTTCTGATTAAAAATTTCACTTTCAGTATTGAAATTTATTTTAAAACTTTTAGTAATTCCATAATGACTTTTTGAATGTTTTTGTATAAAGAAAATTATTTAATAAAAGCAGCTTACTTTCTTCTGAGGGTTAGTGTTTCTGTGTTTCACCAAGAGTATTATGGGCAGGAAGGTCTGGGTGAGCAGGTGCCTTTAAAGTGTTTATTATGAGTATTTCCAGACTGTGTCCAGAAAGTGCTCTTTGAATCTGTGGTACTCAGTTCCCTACTTCCAGCAGCTGTCCTTCAGCAAATGTCCATTTCAGCATCAAGGTTTTCCAGGCTGACAGTCTGAGGAACTGTCTTTCTCTCTTCAGCTGGTTTGTTAACCTGTCTCCATGCAGGGGGATCTGCTTTCTACGTCATCTGCATTGCTGTCTTTCTGCATCTGCATTGCTGTCTTTCTGCGTCACTTGAGTCCTGCCTTTCATTTGGAAGTTTCTCTTGTTTGGATCAGATCTTTATCAATTGTGATGCAACCCAGTAGTCTTTCATTGCCTGTGGAAATATAGGAAAAACCTCTTCCCCAACGTAATATATTCCCTGAGTTCCAGTCTGATGTTAAAACACCTTTAAAGTGTGCAGGTTGATCTAATTCAGTAGTTTGTTTGTTTTTTTCCCACCATCCAGTGTCCTTCAGCTGATCTTTTTCCCACTCTCTATTTATCAAGATACAATTAGATCTTTATGAATCCACACATAAGCTAGACATTTAGGCATACTCACTCCATGCTAGTGAGCTAGGCTCACTCCAGTGAGCCACGATTCTTACCCGTTATCAGTGGACTGTCTATTTTGATCATTAATTTCATTAGGTACCATATGTTCACAATTAAGCATTTTCTGTTCTCTTAGTTTCTCTGTCTCTTGTCTCTCAAACCTTTGTATTATCTTAGTCAATTTTTCTTGATGTATAGCTATTTTTTCAACCTTTTTTGAAAGGAAAAATATAAAGATTGCAATTGGCAGTAGAGAGGGGTTTACTATGGTGGTCAGAATTGCAGTGAGTACTGCAATGTCTTTTTCAAGTATTGTTTCTATACCCTGAACTCCTACCCCTGTTCTCAAGGGTTCTGAAATGTAGTTTCCCATTTTTAGTGCAGGAAAAGTCTGTCTATAATTAAAATTGTCTTTGGGGGTGGTTTACTGTGATTCATTATCTCAGAAGCTCCTGTGTCGTTCCTTGCTCTGGGCTCGAGGCTCCCACTGTTCCGAGGTCTTCTGAGTCTCTTTGGATATCCAACCATTCTATTTTACCAATAAAGACTCAGGAACTAGATGCTCAGGTGAAAATCTGCTAGCTCAGAGAAGAAGAGAAAGCACCCAGCTGACCTTCCTTCTCAGCTCAGGTCCAGATGGGGAAGAAAAAAAAAGGATCACTAGCTCAACTGACAGCCCAGGAGCAAATGGCCAAAAAACCCAAGGCTAAGGCTAAAGCCAGAGCTCTGACCTAAAAGCTTTTTCTACTTCTGTAGACAGTCTTAAATTCTCCTCAACTCAAAAGTCCCTCCTACTCTTTAATCTCTGTCAGTTGGCTTCTTGCTCTGCCTTTTGAACTAGGATTGACTTTAAATCCTGTGTATAGAAAGATCTTGGATTAAAGGTGTGTGCTAGGGCTGGCTGAACCCCACCACAATCACCTGTTTACAATAAACAGAAAGTTCTTAGATTAAAGGTGTGTGGTAGGGCTCAACCACACTAAACAAAAAAAAACAAGGGTTTGGGGTTCACAGTGGGTCAAATATCCTACATTTTCCCCCTTTTCTCTTAAATAAAAGACCTTTTCTCTAACATCAGTAAACTATACTATCAGGTAAAAATTACACTCACAATGTCTAGTCCATATATAACAAGCAACCTCAAAAAAAGTATTCTACTATCTATCCTATCTTGGTGAGTCTAAAGTTCTGTACCTAAATGACATTGTATCAAAACTTGCAATCCCAATTAAAAAAACATCTTTTTTTTTTGGAAAAGCAAAAAATATTTTTTTTACATTTCTTTTAATTCTTAATAATTTTTAACTGTTCTAGTGTTTGAATAACTGGAGAATGTGATTTTAAACCTAAAACACCTTCTTAAATCGTGAAGAACTTAATCTTAATTATAAGATCATAACTATTTATTCTTCAACCCCATCAGAGACTTGAGAAGGATTAATATTATCTGAATAAACAGGAAGTGCAGAGCAAGCAGCTTACAAAACTATAGAATGACAAAGACTGCTGGCTGCCTGGACAGTCATTCAAGGTATCTTCTAAAACGTTGGAGCATTAATCTTCAGTTTTCTGGCTCAGAATATCTGACAGACTTCTGTGAAGCAGATATTAGGAAGGACTTGCCTACCTTGTTCTTGCAGTCGACTTTCCTGCACCCAGTTTGTCCAGCATTCTCTCTGCAGTAGAAGCAAGGGCATTCCTTGCCTAGTGGCTAGTTTGCCACATATGAAGCCATCTCCTAAGGGAGAATTTTTTCATGCTCATCATGTTCAAAGTCAAAAGGGGGTGCTGCCAGGAACTGACATGTCTCGTCAAAATATTCTCAAATTAATAAAAAGGTTTTTAAATGCCATATTCTATATATCTCTGAGGTTTTTTGAAAACATTTATCTAGTATATCTCAATTCCTTGTTTCTAGCTATATACTGACTGATTAACTTAGGTAACATTTATGTTTAACTAAACTAGTACCTAATAAAACCACAATTTGATTCACTATTAGTTTGCATTTCTTAATCATTTTAAACAGTTTGTGATAGTAGCTATCAAAAGGACTAGAACTTCACATTGCATTTTTAAGAACTATATAGGTACAATACTTTAAAAAATAGTTGATAAAGAGTATGTTGTAACAAAAAAAAAAACAACCCTTAACTTTATATCGATATACAAAGATCTATGCTAGTGTAACCAAATATAACCTTAACTTTGTATCAACATACAAAGACCTATAGGAGTAGATTTAATAATCAACCCTTTTTTCCTATTGTTTCTATATTATTTCTATATTCTGCCTTTTGTCTAAATAAAAAGTAAAGATACAGTAAAACTTTATAAAAATTAAGCAATTTTTGCTAAGCTTTGAACTTGGTTGTATTTGGCAGTTTTAGGATTTAGTATTTTTGAGTTCAAAGTTCTGGAAAATGTTCATGTTAGTCTCATATGAACTCAGCAATTTGAATATCCTAAGCAGTCTGTATTCCAAAGCTGATCTTGGGTGGTGTTTGTCAGCTTGGTGACAACTCTCACTAGGTAGAACATAACAGTCAGCTCAAAGGTTTCTACTGTTTATGTACAACCAGACAGCAGAAGAAGCATTGAACAGTTTTTCTCAGTGGTTGGTATTACACAATCCAGGTGGATTTGTCATTGCTTCCCCCCTCCCGCCTAGTCCTTCTTGAAAACCTAAAAGGTTACTGTTACAAGTGGTAGAATACCTAAACATTTTAAATGCCACATGCGGCAGATCTCAGAAAGGTTTAAGGGCTATAATCTACTAAGTAAGTACACTGGAGGTACACAAACTTTATAGATACTTGCTTCAGACTCAACCCTGGTAATACATACAAGAAACTAGAGAAAGCTTATTTCTAGAATTAGCTAATATCCTGTATGACTACTAGTATCATGACAGATAGAAAGTTTATATATACATAATAATTTTATAGGTTTTGAGATAATATACCTTAAAAATTATAGTCAAATGAAGTTCAAGGGATTATGAGATTAGTGTTAATAGAGCAATCCCTTATTTTTTGTTTTCCTCTCTCCCATACCAGGTGACTCTTCTGATATAAGACAGATTTTGAATTTTCCTTAAACAAGCACGCATGGGTTTAGAGAAGGAGAGAGCCACACTGCAACCCCAAAGCCAGCTTTAATTTAATTGAATTGGGACCACATAAAGACCATTTGCCACTTATGGGCAATACCACTTGGCCAAATCACTCTTTTTCTTATATTTTCTCTTGATGATCCATCTTTTTTCTTCAAATGTTTCATTTCTCCAGTGTTCTCCAGATTCCTTAAATGATTTTATTCTCCTAAAGATAAAAACAAAACCCTGCCCCCAATTTAACTCTAGGGGGGTTCTTTTTTTGGTAGTGTGCATCTTTCCTAGGACAAAATGGTTTTTGGCAATAGAAAAAGTATTATCTCTCAATCAAAAATTTTAAAAAGTTCTTTTGAAAATATGAAATTAAATAAACCTCTAATTATATTTATTTTTAGATTATAAACAGCATTCACTTTAAATGTTAGCCTGTCTTTTGTAAGCTACTTTTAAAATTAAATCATTGTTATTCATTATTATGCAGCAGGTTTTTCTATTATATAATGTCTCTCTGCAGCTGCTCCTTTTTCATTAGCTTAAAATTAATAAATCACTGTGTAATTTCTGGAGTTCTTTATTATCCCTTTTTGTTTATTAAGCATATCTTTTAAAGTATGATTAGATTTTTCTGTAACTGCTTGTCCTTTAGGATTGTGTGGCATACTTTATGTTGTAATATACAAAAAACTGTTTCATTTTACTAGAAACATATGCTGGAACATTCTTAGTCTTAATTTGTATAGGTAACCCCATAATAGCCATAACTTATAATAAATGTATAATTACAGAATCAGCCTTTTCAGAACTTAAAGCAGTTTCCCATTGAAATCCTAAATGTGTCTATGGTATGCACATACTTTAATTTTCCAAGGGTTGCAAAATGAAACATATCAATTTGCCAAATTTCATTTCTTTGGGTACTTTTTGGGTTACATCCTGCAGGTAATAGAGTTTGGTTATACAAAGAACAAGTAGGACATTTCCTTATAATTTTCTTAGCTTGTTGCCAACTGATAGAAAAATCTTTCTTCAAACCTTTGCTGTTAACATGGTGTTTCTTATGAAATTCTGAGGCTTCTAGCACATTTCCTACTAACAGCTGATCAATTTCATCATTACTTTTTGCTAGCGGGTCTGGTAGACTTGTATGAGATCTGATAAGTGTTATGTATTCAAAGAACTGCATCTTTTCCCTGGAGATGATCCCAGGCAAATTTCTCCTCTGCTGCTTTCTGTCAGATGTCTCCTGTCCTACGTAACATTTCTGTCAGATGTCCTCTGCTCCTGCAGTGTTTGTGGGCTTTTTTCTTCAATCATGTTGGGTTTTCTTACCAACCACATTGAGCACCATATGTAAAAGGAGCTTTTATGTGCCTGTTCAGTTATTGTCTGGGAGACTTACTGCCTCCTGTTAACCTAGGCCTAGTCCTAGTCTTAGAACAGCAGTACTCAAAGAAGGGTGACCCCCAAATGACAAACTGTCACCAGTCAGTAAATACAGACATTGAACATACTCAAGCATAAAGACATTTGGAGCATTCTAAAGACAACTGAGCTTAGTGAAAACAAGTCGGCCTGTGCTGGATAGGTAGCTCAGCATTGGGCTGCTTTTCCAGAGGATCCATGTTTAGTTCCTACATGGTGGCTTATAACTCCAGTCCCAGGGCATCCAACATTCTCTTCTTCAGGTACCAGTCACGCACACAGTACACAGACATACATGCCAACAAAATTTTGATGCACTTAAAATAAATAAAATTAAAAATGAAAACTCCAGATAAATCTTACATATTTGTATAATGTGACAATATAGTAAATCAGAGCCATTGACAAATATTTCTCTAGGACAGAGTTATTTCAAGAGACCGAAAAATTGTAAATTAGAGCAAATATTTAAAGTAGATGGATTTGGTTTACTACTTACTAGTAGAAAAAAAGCGCCTTTTAAAAACGTGCAGCCAGATACGGTGCCCTGTGCCTGTAATTCTAGCATTCAGAAGGCTTAAATGTGATTCCAGCCTGAGCTACATAGCAGATTCCACTCCAGCCTATGATATACGGTGAGAACCCTATCTTGGAAAAAAGGACCAGAACCAAAAGAAAGTGTGTGGATTAAAGTGGACATGCTGGTACACACCTGTAATGCTAGCGCTCAGTTCAGACAGAGAATCACAGGTATGAGGCCACCCTGGACTACATAGTCTGACAAAGCGTGGCATTTTCACCCACAGAATTCAGTTATAGTTAACCTGCATTTTGGCATTTGAGTAAAGAAGCTTATATATCACTTCTTGGTCTTTAACAAGATCACCTTAAGAAAGCAGCCTTTCTTGGCCCTGTGGAGATGTCTCAGTGGGTAAAGTGCTTTCTATGCAAGCATAGGACCTGAGTTCAAATCTCCAACACCCTGGTAAATGCCAGGTACTGACCTGCACTTGTGACCCTAGTACGGGGTGGGTCAGAGAAAGGTGGAGGGAGCTCCAGATTCCTTAAAAGGGCTGGCTGAGGAAGACAGTAGATGTTGAGAGGCACCTGTCCACACGCGCACACACAAGAAGCCTGTGTTGTGGCACACTTATCTGAAGTCTTCCTTGAAAGACTTTCTTGAAAGTCTACAGAAAAGAACAACAACAACAAACATTAAAGATTTGTCTCTTTGAAATAGTTGGGTTAGTTGAGTTTTATAAAAGCCCAAACAGATTGAGAGGGAGGCGTAGATGTTTCTTTTATGATGGAATGAATAGATAAAGGTTGAAATGGTGACATGAGATTATTGATAATTAAAAGGTACAGTTGTCATATTTTCTTTCCTCTGGATGTTGAGATGGTTACTTTTGAGGTTTCTATCACAAGTGAAAAGGCAACATTTCTGTTGGTTGTATTTTTAGGCATACGTTGTAGAAGATAACAAGCAGCTTATTTTAGAAGGCCAGCATCATGTGGTTCTTCATACTATTGGGAAAGAAGCCTTTTCACACTCTCAGAAACAGGTAAGACCATTGCTGGGAGGCTCTTTTGGGATTTTCATGTGTGTGGATCATTGTACTTCCCTCATAGCCACGGTCTCTCTGTGCCGTGCCTCTCGCCCTCTCTGCCTCTGTCTTTATTTTCACACAGGTTCTAGTTATAAGTCTCTGCTGGCCTCAAACATGCAGTCTCTGCATTGGCCTCTGGTCCTGGAGCTAGAGGCATGTGTCAAAATATCCTCCTTTGGCTACTATTTATGTCTTTTCTTCTGACATGTGACACGTAGAAATTTACTCAGTATTATTTACTTTTTTTATGCTGGGGATTGACACTGAGCATGACACATGATAAGCCCACAGTCGACCACTAAATTTTTCCTTAAGCCCTTATTCAGTATAATTTAGAAGTTGTGTTGTATTAGAAGACTTGAATATATTAATAATATATTAAAATTTTTTAATTATATGTATTCTTTTTATTTTATAAGTGATTGTTTTGCCTGCATGTATGTGCACCACATGCATGCTTGATGTTCATAGACATGAGCAACATGTGCACACAGTGTCCAAGGACTATGCCTGTGCACCATGTGCGTGCTGTGGGAAGAGGGCATTGGATCCTGGAAGTGAAGTTATGAGTGGTTGTGAACCGGGTCCTGTAAAAGAGCATACAGTGTTCTGAGCCAGTGAGCCATCTCTCCATCCCTAATAATACATTTTTTTTTTTTAACTTTTAAAATCAAAGGTAGTCAAAAATAGTTTTTACAAATGGAAACACATTCCAACCCAAGACTGGGGTATAGAAAAAGATCCTGGTGGCTCTCCAGAAACTCCTCCTGTCTTCCTCTGCTCTTTGTCTGAGTTAAATTGGACTGTGTGTATGTGACCTAGAATTTAAAAGTGGAGCTTCTGGTACAAACGTCCTAAGTTGTCTGTTGTCATCTAGGTCCTTCAGGCTAGGCCACGTTTGTGAAACCTGTCCATATTGTAGCTCTTTAATTTTCAATGGCCATTTCAATGTAGAAACAATTGCTTTCCAACCAAAAGAACAGTGGTTTCTGGAACACTGACTCATTTCAAGGTTGAGGGAAGAAGAATGCCAGGTGAGCTGCAAGACCTAATGGTACCAAGAGTGAAGTGTCCACAGCTTAGGAGAACATGCTGGCTTGTATATGAGAGTGTTGCCGTCACTCTGCTTTGGTCTTTATAAGTACTGTGCACAGTTCAGGTAAAATCAGCCATGCCTCTTTTTTTTTTTTTTTTTTTTTTTTTAATGATGCTCTGTGAAATAAGTAGAGCTGTATTTATGATCAGTGATAAATTTTGATGCTGTTGTTTAATTTCTTTTTTTAAGAAAAAAACAAAACAAAACAACTTAGGGGCCTTATGTAGTAGCCTAGGCTGACCTCAGACTGGCTGTGTAGCTGAGGCTGATCTTGAATTCCTGATTCTCTTGCTAGCACCCAAGTGCTAGGTACAAGGCAAAGGATTACAGTGGTGCCACGTCGCCTGTCTTATAGAGTGCTGGGGCTTGAATCTAAACGTGCCAGACAAGCACTGTACCAGCTAAGCTATCTCCCCAGTGTATGTTAGCGTTTAGGAAATATATATAAAGCAGTAAATCTATCAAATGAAGCAATATATTTTCAAAGTGGGATTTTTTTTTCCCCTCAATCTTGATAATCAGCTCTTGAAACTGGTGCTATACAATTGAATATCCACAACCTAAATATTAAGCAGTTTTATTGGATAAGAATCACGTCAACTGCCTTCTCTAGTGCTGTCAGCGAAGTGAAGCTGGGCTCAGCCAACATGTACTAGTGGTTTAGTGGTTTCACACAGAAATTGGTTGAAGCTTGGGCTTCAGAAGCCTATAGTCCACAGGGGTCAAAGCTGGTTTCTATCAAAGCACCACCTAACATATTTGCCATACTGACTAACGTGACCTCCAGTGTGACAACATATAATTATGCAGGGAAGAACAAAGTTCTAGAGCTGCAGAAATCCTTCGAGAAGGCTGATGGTGTGCCCATCCAACTGAAGTGAGGCCTTCCCAACCAAATTCTTTACCAGACCACCATGGCTCTGACTGTGGGGGGACCATCTACCACCCTCTTACCTGGCTCTGCAGCCCAAAACCAAATGAATTAGCTTACGCAGGACTGGTTTACTTTGTGGTACAAACCCTTTGACTTCTCAGTTTTCATTATTTCTGGTTTTTTTTCCCCCACTTGGATAGTCTAGTTAACATTTTTGCATACAAAGGAAAAGATGAGAATATAATGTTTTGGTTTGTTTATGAGATGCAGGTGGCCTGTCAGATGTTAGAAGTCATTTGACAGTTAAAACTATTGTTTAGGGAAATGACACTGAGCTGTATTTGTGCTTCTGATTGCCCTGGAAATTCTGGATAAAAAGCTGTTCAAGAGCTCATTGATGGCAGTCACTGTTGAGGGCCTCAGGCACTGGACTGAGTCTCAGCAGGAGCCATGAAAGCCTTTCTGGGTGTAGTGTGACTGAGGAAGGAAGACACAAGCCTTAGGTCAGACGTGTGGAATGAGTTAGCCACTTGGGGGATTTTCCCACCTTGCAGTAAAATGTTAATAGAAATTTGTAATCTTCGTCACCCAGATCTTTAGTGAAATGTTATGTATTTGTTCCGTCATGGGAAAGAGAACACCAGTCAGTGTTGGACTTTAGACAGCTGTACCAGAAATTCTCCTTTAATCATGCCACTTTATTTGGCTGTGGAATAAACATGTGAACTAAAATAAAAAGAATCACATCAACCACTGAAGTGATCGATTCTGGAACCCAAATTTAACATATAAAAATTATTAAGATAATTATGTAAGATCACAGAGCTGATGTGTAGAATTTTTAGGTAAACAGGAAAAGTTAGCCCAGGTTGTATTGCAAATAACAGTAGCTCCTAGTTTAAATAATGGCAAAAAACAGAAATATTCTTCATGATTAAATTGTCTTCATTGGTTTTTTTAAAAGTTTGTATGCTGTAACTTTTACAAAGCATCATTTCATTATTAATCTTTTTTGTCTATTCTCAGGAGCCACCAGAAATGGAACTATTAAAGTTTTTCAGGCCAGAAAACACTATAGTTTCCACAAGACCATCAGTAGAGCAGCTTTCTAATCTCATTAAAACAAGTCTCCACTACCCGGAGTCATTTCATCATCCATTTCATCAAAAAAGGTTTGAGTGTTATTTTTGTTAAATTTTTCTGTGTACATGTACAGATACCTATTCGTAAAAATTAACATTTTTTTTTGGTAACAGAATTTGCCCACACACCAAAAGAAATTGAATTGACCCAGCACTTGGAGGCAGAGGCAGGCGGATCACTGAGTTCGAGACCAACCTGGTCTGCAGATTGAGTCTAGGACAGCCAAGTCTACACAGAGAAACCCCATCTCAAAAGCCCCCAACCTCAAAAAAAGGAAAGGAAAGGAAAGGAAAGGGGAAAGGAAAGGGGAAAGAGGAAAGGAAAGGAAAGAGGAAAGGGAAGGGAAGGGAAGGAATTTAATGATTTACTATAGTGTTGAGTGTGTGCATACATGCACACGTAGACCCATACACACTTGCCTCCAGTGTTGCTGAGGATGGACATTGCCCCACCACTTTGGAGGTGGCAAAAGCTTTTATGTTGTAAGGTTTTTCAGAAAGTCAGAAACTAGGGGGAAAATTTTGGTTTAGACATAAATCAAAACTACAGCATGACTAACAGTGGGACTCGGATTTCAACTATATTCCCTTAAGAGTATCTTTTTAAATCTATCTATCTATATTGTTTGTATATATGTAAGAATACATTCCTGTCGAAGGATAGCCTTCAGGAGTTAGTTCTCTCCTTCCACCATGTGGAGACCTGGTATCAACCCCAGGTTGTCAGGCTTGGTAGCAATCTTCTTTATCTACTGAGCCATCTTGCAAACTAACCGCCCTGGAGAATTTTTAAGTACTAAATATCAGGGGAGGATTTATTTGTTGATAAACCACTTTAATGTCTAAACAATTTTTAAAATAAAAATTTATAAATCTGAGCCGGGTGGTGGCAGTGTATGCCTTTAATCCCAACACTGGGGAGGGAAAGGCAGGTGCATCTCTGTGAGGTCAAGGCCAGCCTGGTCTACAAAGTGAGTCTAGGATAGCCAAGGCTACACAGAGAAACACTGTCTTGAAAAACAACAGCAACAAAAAGTTTTATATCTGATTGATACTTGAAAAGGTTGCTCATTTGCAGGTGTGAGACTTAGTGGGATTTTCTTAGAACTAGTGTGTATGTGACAATGTTCTGGTTTGGAGGAGGTAGAGCTCTCCTTAATAGAGCTGGGGAGGGATGTGATGAGACAGAAAAGAAATAGTGAACAATGAACCAAGGAGAAAGGAACACCTGGAGAAGACATGAAAGGAGCAGCAAAAGCAGAAGGAAGGCCAAGATGAAAGTCATGTCTCAGCAGTGGACAGTTGGAGAGAGAAAAGGGTTAACAGTTTAAAATGCTTTAAAATTAATAATTGAAGATGCTAACATTCGGTGGATCATAAGGTCTGAGAATTAGATGGCAGCAGAAGGCGTGAGGAGTAGTGCACACTGACCCAGGAGACCTTCAGGTGACTACATCTCTCTTTCTGGTCGCATTTTAGTAAGGTGTGAGTAATTTAGCATTGGAGAATTAGATTGGACCAGAGCGTAAATTCCTGGATTTTTGCTTTTGCTTGTGAATTACACATTGGTAATTTAAATGAAGGAGATGCCACAGAGTGGGCAGAACACCAGCATACCTTCACTCATGCTTGAATCTAGAGACAACACTTCTGCTTAACGGTAATGCTTATGGAAAGTGTGCATTCTGATATTTATTATGGAGAGATTTTATTAATATATTTTATTTACAAAATAAGTTACCTAGAATGATTTTGTAACTCAGCTTTTTTTCTTACTTGAATTTGATCCTAAGCTTATGTTCTGTTAAGTCTTGTATTATTTTTTAGAAACTTGTTTCTAAGAAGAAAGTTCATGGCTAATGGTTTGGTCTGTCTTCCACAGTCTTTGCTTAGTACCAGTCACCCTTTTACTTTCCAACTGTTCAAAGGCAGATGTAGATGTAATAGTTGATCTCCGGCATAAAACAACGAGGTAAGAATTTATTTTGTGAAAAGTTATTTTGTGGCCCAAAGTTTAGTATTATTTAAAGCAATTCATCGTTTTGAAATTATACAGATTATTGCTTAACATGGATGAAGTTAACTCAAGCATGCCCTAGATTTGTTTATATGGTGTCAGGGAAATGTTACAGAGCTCTTAAATGCTTTTCCCCTAATTTGAAAATAATACTTAACAAAGGAGTCGACATTATACTGCATTGTCCAATTCTTCTAGAGCCAGCAGGTTTGTCTCAGGAATTTTCATATTAGAGAGTAAATCTGGGGCTGGAGAAATGGCTCTGTGGTCAAGAGCACTTACTGCTCTTGTAGAGGTTCTGTGTTTGGTTCCCAGCACCTGTCTGGTGGCTTACAGCCATCTGTAACTCTAGTTTCAAGGGCTCTGATACCTTCTGCCTCTGCAGGTACCAAGTCATCTGAAGCATACACTGCATGTCATGTTACATTTTAGAATGCACCTTAAAATCCAAGCACAGTAGATTGTTTGGTGCTAGTTACAAACTCACTAAGTGAGGCTGTGTTGTTAGGCACTGGATTGTTTCTATTTTCTAGTTTTATAAAGTATAATATCATGGGCATTCTTTTACACACGATTGTTTTTTTTTTTTATATGTGGATAACCAAGAAGTTAAGAGCTTAGTTTCAGATCAGACTCCATTGTTTACTAGATGCCGCTATAGGCATTAAATAGAATTATCTACTCTTAACATTGTTCCTAAGAAATAGCAAGAACTGTAACACATGGTTGATTGTTACAGTAATAACATAGTTAAAATAGTTCATTTCGTAAATAATTCCTAGAAACAAAAGGTTTTGGTGAAAGAAAGATGTAAGACTTCAGAGAAAAAAAAAAAACATACAGGAAAAAGTTTGCAACTTACCATTTCCTTCCTCCTCTAGTCCAGAGTCGTTGGAAACTCATGGATCCTTCACGTGGCTTGGACAGACGCAGTATAAACTCCAGCTGAAAAGCCAAGAGACGCATAGTTTGCAGCTGAAGGCATGTTTTGTTCATACAGGTGTTTATAACCTTGGAACTCCAAGGGTATTCGCCAAGTTATTGGACCAGGTTGCAGTATTTGAAACAAGTCAGCAGAACTCCATGCCTGCTCTGATTATCATCAATAATGCGTGACAGCTGAAGTTGCAGACTCAGTCGGACTTTGTGGAGTTAGTTCTACAGCAGCATTTGAAATACCCAACTTGTTAAGGAAGTTCTCTGATCATTGCAAAATACTGGAACTTGGCACTTAGTTGACACACAGTATGCTGGGCTGAGAATGCTTAGGACCACCCCCCTTTTTTTTCTTCTTATTTTAAACCTGGTAATAATTTACAGGCTTATAATACAGAATTCAACGTATCCATACACCTTATTAAGCCATATCTTAAAAAAATGTCAAAGTCTGCTGTTGCAACTTGTCGAATGGGTGTCACTCTTAGGAGGTGGTTTTGAGGAAAGAAAGGCCCTGCTGGCAATACTCCCAGTAAGCCATTAGTCTGACGATCCAGCTTTACTGTTCTGTAGAGTGTTGAATACAGATTTTCCTGCCTTGCCCCATACAATTCTGTAAGATCAGTTTTGAACTTTGATTACAGGCATTTGCATTCTGTCTGGTGTCCTGATGGCTTATACATAACTGTAAAAAGAAGCTTTTCTGATGCTCTGAACATAGTTTTGGAAGGAGTTTGACTTTATTCCCTCATTCATCTCTTACTGTCACACTATTTCACAATAAGATTTTTGTCATTAAATCATATTCTTTATTACATAACTTTAACAATTAAGTTGATCTGTTTAAAATATAAATCTACTCAAGTTAAAAATAAGCTTTTCAAAAATGTATTATATTTATAACAAATTTACTGTAAATAGAATAAAGACATACTATTCACTGTATAAATTTACTAGATGCCTTTTTTAAAACCTGGCTTTGTGAGGACTTAATATATTCTTTATTTAAAATAAATGTCAGCCATGTACATTAGGCACCAGCCTAGTTTCTTATGAAAGCTTCATTGCCGTTGTTCAAAAAAATGAAGCATGGCCTTTGCTCTTGGAGAGCAAATGAAATATTTCTTTGCACGTGTCCTGTCTGATGCTGAGTTCAGGTCTGCATGGTCTACCCTGACCCCGGTTGAAAGGACATCAGCACATCCTCACCTGGCAGCTGCAGCTGTACAGGCTCTGGTGTTGGTTCTACAGACTTCCTGTTGGAAAGAAGTTCAGCTTCTGAGCAGAACAGGAAACAGCTACTGAAACAGAATCCAGCAAAATCCAGAGCAAAGGACAGCGCTTGGAGGCTGGTGTTATGGGGACTTTTCTACTGGCGTCTGTTCCTTTTAGAGAAGCAGCCTAGAGACAGGCACAGACTTAATGTGCTTGGAAGAAGTGAGTCAGGAGAAATATGTAAATTGAAGCAAGCAGAGAAAAAGGTTGAACTGGAGGGAAAGGTAAAGGTACGAGAACTGCTGTCAAGGTTGAGTCTGGAAAAAAGAGGAAGAATACAGGCAGTGTTAAGAGAACCTCACAGGTGTCTGGATGATTGTCAAATCACATGTTACTTCTGTCTGGATGTGTCCTGGGAAAACTGCTCAAGATGGAAGGCAGTGACAGACAGTCAAGGCCAGAGGCAGATACGTTTCCTCCGTTCTCCACTGCCAGCATGCAGTACTGGGGCTGCCACTTGGGACCTTGTGCACCTGGACAAGCTAGCCCAGCTCCAGAAGATCAGTAATTATTAAAACTGGTAGATGGCTTCATTAAAAATGATACAAGCCAGTGAAATGTTTAAAAGGGTTGAACCGTGTGCCGTTTACTTGAGACAGGTCTTACGCACCTCAGAGTGGCCCTGAACTTACCGAATAGCCAAGAATGACCTTTAATTTCTGATCCTCTGTCTCTACCTTTCATGTGCTAATGTTAAAAGCAGGCATCACTGCACCCAGTGTCTGCAGTGCTGGGACTGTTGGCAGGGCTTTGTGCAGCTACTACTCTCACTCCTGTCATAAACCAGAGGCTAAAAGCAAAGCCAGTTTATTTGGCAGGAGTTTAAAATCTAAAGTACTATCCCAGTCTTGCACAGGGAAAGAGTTACACTAAATATAGCATATGTTGAGAAAGCATGTGAAGCCAACTGAGAGCTACACTCCCCACCCTAAGCCACTGTTTTAAACTCAGCAAAAAATACCCTTGCAGAAAGGGAGGGAGTGAAGCATATTTTTAGACTAACCCAGAGCCTTCAATTCAGGTGGCTGTAAGCTAATGGCAGTTGCCCAAACCCTCCCATTCATTCTCCAGATATGTAGATGAGCCCACAGTAAGAGCAGTGGAGCCAATCCTAATCCTTGATTCCAGCATAGCTAGGAAGAGGATACTACCAACTCCAAATTTTCCATTAGTGGGAATTCAGCACAAAATGACATGGTTGTTTTGGAGCCTTTGTAAAGACTGGAAGTGGAGACAACAGGAATGCGGACAGATTAGAAAGGAGAGGTGACGGTGGAGCTGAAGTCACTCTAGGGAAATGATCCAGGTGTATTTTGGGGACTTGGGCAAGATGAGACTCTGAAGGAGAAAAGACAATATAGATTGGGTCTGAGGAGTCCTGACACCAACTATATCCACAAGGGGGTGCTAGAAGAGTAGCGTTCAGTCGGTGCTGCCATTAACATGTCTTTCAAGCTGAAATAAGAGGTGACACCTAACAAAGTAGAGGGGGTGGGAGGAAATGGGAGTAGCTTTTGCATTTTAAAAATTTTACTAAATTGTGTGTGTGTGTGTGCGTGTGTGTGTGTGTGTGTGTGTGACATATATGCAGGTGCCTCCAAAGGAGCTGGAACCCAGTCTTGTGCCAGTTTATTTCTTCATTCATTTTTTGAGACAGGGTCTCATATGGGCCACTCTGGTTCCCAACTTACTGAGGCCTTAAACTTCTGACGCTTGTGCTACCTGCTGGGCTCTGGGGTTGTAGGTGTGTGCCTCCATGCCTGCTTTTATTTGGTGCTGGGGATGGAACCCAGGGCTTCGTGCATGCTAGGCAAGCCCTCTACCAGGTGAGCCACATTACCTGCCCAGATCACCCATTTTTAATACAGCACTCAAGCTGAGCATTGCAGTCACCGACAGTTACTGTCTGACCAGAGGTCATCTTTAAAAACTTTAAAATTACATTTTAATTATTTATTTGTTTATTTTGTGTGTATGCATCAGGTAGAAGTTAGGATGACATGAGAAATATGACAGCTTTGTGACACCGATTGGAAAGCAGTGATGCCTTGGGTGATACTTCTAAGAGAAGCACTAGGGACCAAAGGAGAATTGTCTCCCCAGGGAAGTGTGATTTCTGAGGCTACCCATGGACATTTAGGAAACTGGAGGGATATTAAGAGTGGCAAAGACGCTTTGAAAGCATACTTCTGGAAAAATCACCCCTAGAGAATAATCTGAAAAGAAGTGGCATGGGGCTAGGCATGGTAGCACACGCCTTTTTTCCCAGCACTGGGGAGGCAGAGGCAGACAGATCTCTGAGTTGGAATGAGTTCCAGGACTAGAGAAATCCTGCCTTTAAAAACCAAACTAAACAACAACAAAAGAGAGAGAGACGGGGAGTGGGGGTAGAAGAAGAAGTGATGTGAAGAAATTGTCAGGGGGGGGGGGCAGGCTGACTTGGGCCTCTTTGTGGTGTGGTCAGCAGGTCGGTGGGATTTGTTTACACTCCACACCTGACAATCGTCAGTTCTCTGCAGATAGAGAGTGCTCTGTAGACTGCATGCCTCCAAATGAAGGACAAAGCCATTCCAGACTTTTAACCATTGTAGCCTCAGGTCTAGGGCCATTAGAAGCCCTCCCTAGCCGCCCCGGGCACTATATGCATGCAGTACACATGAATTCATGCAGTGCACACACAAACATAAATTTAAATCTTCAAAAAGTTGCTATTTCTATGGATCACTGAATAAATTTATAGACATAAAAGATTTCTGTCACACACATATACATGTACATGGTGTTTTCTAAGTCATAAATGAAAAATATACAACTTTAATTCCCAATAAGGCCATCCCCTACTTGATATAAAATTCAGAATCTAATCATTTAAGGTCAGCTTTTAAAAATTGTAACCTTGTATTACTGTAGCCTAGTTTTGTTTTTTTTGTTTGTTTTTTTGTTTGTTTTTTTTAAGAAGTTTAAAATAGTACAAAATAGGCTGGGGAGATGGTTCAGCAGTTAGGAATACTGGCTGCTTTTCCAGGGACCTGGGTTTGATTCCCAGCACCCACCCAGTGGCTTTCAAGCCATTTTTAACAAATCTTTTTCTGACCACCAGGTATCAGGGATGCATGTGTTGCACAGACAGACTTGCAGGCAAAGCACCATGCACATAAAATGAACTAGAAAATGTTCTGGGAGTGTTGCTCAGTGCTAGTGAGTGTCTGGAGCAGGTTCGAGGCTCTGGGTTTGATCCCCAACACCAGTGCCACACCAACAACTCTGAAAGGAAAAAGAGATGTTATTTCTGCCCTAAATAAGAGGCTAAAAGAAATTTCTATCCTAAAGAGGCTAGCTTATCTGGCAACAGTTTGCAATCCTCAGTAATGTCACCCAATCTCTCACAGGAAAGGAGCTACACTAAATATAGAACATTTTGATAAGCATCACTCAAGTGGTGAGTGAACAAAAAGTAAATAAATAAATAATAAGCTGTGAACAAGGTGTCAGCTCCCCAAACAGAAAGCTTCTGTGAATATCTGGGTGCTGGGAACCGAACCAGGTTGTCTTCAAGAGCAGCAAGTACTCTAAATCATGGAACCAGCTCTCTACCCAGCTATCACTAAAAATTTTGCCAATGTACAAAGATAGGGGTTTCACTGGAAATAGTTGCTCTGAAAATTAAAGCTGCAATTTCAGTTTACTTGCTTGGGATTATGAGGTTTATGTAAATAAAGCTCCAACAATTTAGTTTAAGTTGAATTCAAATTTCCACCTGTTGAGCTCTTTAAACGCACAGACTATTGCTCTGGTCATTTCATTAAGCCCAGCTGGTGCAGAAAGCTAACTGTGGCCCGAGAAGATTGGCTGTTGCCCTCATCAGAATGTTGCATTTACCTCCTCACATTGCCTGCTCGCAGTAGACAATTCCAAAGCCATGACTTTTCAGAAAGATGTTTCTTTAATCAAAAGGCAAAGAGGGAGTGAGTTTATTTTATCAATGTATAAGGTGTGGTTCTGAGTCCAAAGGGCATCTGCTGAGAGGTGTATGTTCTTGAATCACAAAACAAAGAATTGGACCAGAGCCATGTGATAGTTTTAGAAATAAAGATAGTTTAAACATAGAAGCAGTCTGGAGAGCTGAGATAAATAATGACCTCCAGCTTGGAGAAGGGTGAGCTCATATGCATAGCCTCCAAGTTTTCCTGTTTGGAATTGTCAGGCTTTTTCTGCAGATGTTCTCTCTCATTACATGATGCTCAAGGTGTACGGTAGGTCTTCTGCCGTTGCTTTCTGCCTGCACCAATCTTTGATGCCCTGTTCTTCCACATTAAGGAAACCTCTGATGAGGATTTACTTGTTTTAACCTTATTGATATGGAGATAGATAGATAGATAGATAGATAGATAGATAGATAGATAGATAGATATTATATATTATGATATATATTATATCAATATATAAATATATATATATGGTCTCACCATAAAGCTTGACTAGCTCAGAACTCATAGCAATCCTGCCTTCGCCTACTAAGTGCTGGCATTATAGGCATATGTCATCATGGCTAGCTTCTGGTGAGTTTTTTTGTTTGTTTTGTCGGTTGGTTTTGGGTTTTTTGTTTGTTTTGTTTTGTTTTTGTTTTTTGTAGACAGGTTTTCTCTGTGTAGCCCTAGGTGTCCTGGAACTCTATAGATCAGGCTAGCCTTGAACTCCGAGATCCACCTGAGCACTGAGCCTAAAGGCGTGCACCATTACTGCCTGGCATGAGTTTCTTTTAAAAATATACATATTTTTATGTGTATGAATGTCTTGTCTGCATGCACATACGTGTACCATCTGTGTGTCTAAAACCCATGGAAGTCATACGAGGGAGT